TTTTTTTTTTTTTTTGCGTTTTTTTCTTCCTTACAAAGCACTATCGGTTACTATTTACTTTCTTTACGTTATATTTACATATCTATATATTAGCTAGGAATTGGAGGAATAAAATAAAATAAAATAAAAAAACTTAGACTTGAAAGCGGAGCTTTAGTTCTACCGTCCACATTAATCCGTCACGGAAACGGAGCTTTTCGAAAACGCTCTCCAAACTGGTGGAATTTGAAAAACGCCGGCTTTGCGTTTGGACGGAAAACATTTTGAAAACGGAGCTTTTCGAAAACGCTCTTCAAACTGGTGGAATTTGAAAACGCCGGCTTTGCGTTTGGACGGAAAACATTTTGAAAACGGAGCTTTTCGAAGATGATGGCATCACCATAATCGTGTGATTTCCCTGCCCGAGGTTTCCTCAAACACAAATCCAAAATGACCGGGCATTGTTGCGGTTTCAAATTCCTCCGGCGGAGTGGGTTTGAAAAACATTTCATGCGGTTTCAGAGTGAAACCTCCGTTTTCAATTCCTGCGGCGTAATGTAGACGGGGCCTGATTCCCAACTTTATTACGATTAAATGCGCGCCCTTCTCTCGCGCTTTTGACTTTTCATGACGTATCGCCTTCGTGGCATGTCGGATTCAGGCAAAAATAAGCGGCATAAAATCGGGTTTACGGCACAAAATGCCTTCTTTGTCAGTAACAATAAAACCCAAAAAGCTGCGAGGAAAAACAGAAAAATTGTAATATGATCCTATGGTCTTTCACAGGCTTCGTCAGACTGTGCGCTCGTAGCATGGATTGTATTCAGCTGTCTTCGTTTAAATGCACGTGTTTAGAGATTTTGTTTCAGTTCATCACAGTGTATCGTAAGCTCGATTACCAGCCGCTGTTCGGGATAAGAGCCCGCGCTCCTCCCCCGAACTCTTCTCTGGAAGGAACGTAGACCGGACTCGAGAAAGCGGCGGAAATCGAGCACAAGTGTATCGACACATTTCTGAAATATGATTTCAACAGGCTTGAATAATTAAAAGTGTAATTGTATTCAGTTACGAAAGACACGCCTTCCAATGATCTTTAAAAATATCTGGGCAACGGGCGAGAGGAACTTCCGTTTCTAAACTTAAGTATGTCATTGGAAAATGAGAAGTCAAAATCATTATGGCTCTTCATTCAAGAGATGGACTTCACTATCAAGCTGAAAATTTAATGGCGAGTTTCTGCGGAAAGCGACTTTGCATACAAACATTTGCGATAAATTTTTCACACCTGAACTTATTTCTAGTTGTAGTAATCAAAGAAAGTGACTTTACAAACCGTTTATGTTATCTGCCATCAAAATGCCATTATTTATATGGAAAAGTTCTCAGTTTTTTCTGTGAAATTTTTCTGATTGAGGTACAGTCAAACCTGTATTAAGCGGACCCCATATTAAGCGGACACCCCTTGTTGAGCGGACAGCAGTGCAAGTCCCATTTTTCTTCCCACATTCACTGTAAAAAATACCTGTATTCAACGGACACCTCTATTAAGCGGACGCGGGCACCTTAAACTTGACTTTTATGGTCATTTCTATTGTTAGAAACCTGTATCAAACAGACACGGCAAAAAGAATGCATGTTTTTTTTTGTCCACGTTTTAGTAGATCGGTCATTTAAGTTTGCCAACAAACTGAGCTGTCACAGAAAGGCAATATTTTGTTATTCGGTTTTATTTTTACAAAACTTTTGTTCTTGTTTGACTTTGTAAACCTTCACATGATTCGATCAGTATAGATACTGTTTCTGTATACTTAAATCGTTTTACTTCGTATACTTGTCATTGTTTATGGAAATAAGGTATTTCAGAGTTCTCGACCGTTCACGAGAATGCTATTTGACCCCTTCAAGGTCTTTTAATACTGAGGACTACTAATATGACTCTTTTAAGACGAATTCTGAGAGAACCTGTTTTCAACGGACACCCAGTGTTAAGCGGACACTAGCACGGGTCCCGAGGATGTCCGCCTAATACAAGTTTGACTGTATATAACATCAATTGTTTGTATTTATTCAGTGGCCTAAAGAGGATATTCTATTGCAGTGTTTATCGACGTGAGAGCTAGGGAAGTTGCATTGTTGGAGAAGAATAAAGATACGTGCTTTTTGAAAAGTGGTCAGGAATTTAAAGACAAGTTTTTACTGTACTTGAGTTCATCTTTGATATCACCACTGGTAATGGCACTTTTTGGCAATTTTACCCTACGTTTCTATTACGAATCATTTTTACAAGAATATGGAGGCTGGAATTGGTGACATCTTAAGAATATGTTAAGAAAATACACAAGGATGAGATTTTGTTGAGAACATTTTTTTTGCGTGTTGAAAGAAAATAGAATGCACTTAAATCGTATACATGCATATTTTAAAGAAAAAAAAATGAACTTTATTTTTATTTTTTTAAGGCAAAACGGCCAAGTGTCTGCTAGCTTACGGGCTGTAAGGTACAGCGATAAAGCACGTGAGTAATATAACACTATACAGCCACCAGACAGTTACGTTGTAATTGATAGTTCAATTCCTGGTCACATCCGTTTTATACTGAAATACATGTACTCAACTTTGTAATCTAAGAATGTACACAAGAATATTTTCAGCCTAAAAATTTGGCAGAAAATTAAGAATATCCAGCCTGGGCAGAAAAATATACATTCTTATCAAAAAAAGTTTACCGCGTAGGCTTCTAAGAAACCTTATTTGCTGATCTAGAGGTAAATAAAAGCCGCAGCTGTATACGTGATAATGGCCACGTCCAACAAAAAGTTGAATCAGTTCCCACAACTTGCAACGATTTCTTACATGCTGAAGAAGAGGAAAACGTGACAAGTCCGTGCACCTCGTCTAGGCGCATTCCAAATTTCATGCGCTTTTCATTTTTCGCTTTTAATTTTACAACTAGTAACAACTAATAAGGCAACTTCAATGCTACACGTTAGTTCTACTTTATAACATGCGTGAAAGCAACTTGCAAAACACATTTTGCGACAAGCTTTGCAATGAAAATTAATTCTCCATACTTTGTAACTGTTCTTATCTTTAGTAAGTGGATAGTAGTAGTATATCATTATCATCTCTCAACAAGAATAACTAAGCAATGATTTTACTTTAATCCTTAATGTGGTATATCTAAAAATATGAGCATGGATTTCCCAAACGATAACGATTTATAGAACCGTTTCGTTTCGAACTCAGCAAAGCCACAAGATGCAGGAAAACTCTACAAGCTGAAACGACTTACAAAAATAAGCAAAACGCTCTCACTTTTAAGCTAAGTGATTATCTTTTTACACGCAAATCCTTTATCGCATCAGGAGAGATAAAACAAGGCAGATATAACTGGACGACCTCTTGAATTCCTAGATGACTTTTGATTTTAACAACAAAAAAGTTTGAAAACGTGATTCCAACCAACGGGTCTCTTAAAGAATATAAGGTCTTAGAAACAGAATTCTACCTAGAGACACGAGAAAGGTCACGTTCGATTGAAATATTTCACACTTCAGTGGAAAAAAGCTGTCGTACGTTAAAATTTGTGCCAGACCGAAAACTTGGAAATCCTCCATGGTATGACAATTATGAGAATTGTTGACAGTTATAAAATAACTCTTATTTATGATGTTGAGAAGATGTCGGACTTGACGTTCAATAACAAATTTTTACAATATGACAGTTTCGGAATTAAATAATATTAAATAAAACACAAAGAGTGAAACCCGAAGTGAAAGAAGATCAGGAAGTGATTACGAGTTATCAACGTTCATTTTCTAAGCCTTGAAATTATTAAAACAAAATCTGAATAAAAGAATGAAAATTGCTTCCATATGGAATCTTATTTTTGGTAACTGTTTGATTTTCAATAGAATTACAACAGACTTTCCTCCCAAGTGAAAGCTTTTAAGTTAGCCCTTTCGGCGTTTTGGCGCAATTCATCCTTAATTAAGATGACGACGGAGGGAAGTGTTTCAGTCTCATAGCACCCATACCACTCCATCCCCTAAAGTCGTTCTTTCGAACTGCAGACGTTACTCCGAACCGAATAAAGATCCTAAATTACATGAAATGCTATTAATCTTTACTCCCTTAGCTCCATAAAAATATCACTGGAAAACTAGCTTTCAAGAGTTGATTCCACGACAGACTAAGGTATTGTAAACTCAATCATTGCTCGTCAATTCCCCCTACAGGACCGCCCCCCCCCCTCCAACAAAAAACCCCCTTCAAAATCGGAAAGTAATTGAAAGAGGTTTTTCCCCTCCCCTACTCCGCTCCACGCCCTTTGCCCTTGTTCGACTTTACCGGAAGGCTGATCTGTTATTAAATTTAAACCTTGAAGCGAAAACTGAGTATATGTTTCCCAGGTAGGTCCACTATCATGTTTCTTCTGAAGAAAAAACTTCGAGATGTCGGGAGTTCGTAAATAATAATTAATTAAGGTAAATTTGAGTGCTGAAATAACGCGCAAAGGAGCACTACTGTTATCGCGGTTTTTACGGAATTCAAATTAAATTAAATTACAAGGTGTCGGAGAGTCATTTTCCAAGACAGGAAAAGAACACTAGAAATCTGCTTTGGGTTAAACCACATGAAGGAAAAGCTGGCCTGGTACGTACACAAGCTGAGAAAATCGCACGGAGAAATGTTTAGCAAAGGAAATGTCAACAAACTCCGATTTTTACACTACAGATGTAACCACTAGGAGAGGAAAAGGACTTAAACTGAAAAAGGTATCATCACTCTTATTTGAAAGTGAAGAGAAATAAGTCTAATTTGCCTAAGAAAATTCTCTCAAACAATTAACACAATGAAAGCTGTAAAAATACTTACGGACGATACAGAGTCCCACAGAAGGTCTTTGTTGCCAACCCGGGCAGCAATAAGGATTAATTCGTCCGCCACACACATTTGGCCTAGTGAAATCATCAAAACATCACATTATATCAGTGATATAGAGCCATATAAAGATTCTATAAAGGGAGGAAATCAATCGGCAGTTGGTGAACTCAATTAACGAGATTACACAAGGGAACAAAATCTGTCATTGTACACGCTGCATGAATCGAGCTTTGATAAAGAAAAATTTACAACCGAGTAAAGAAGATCGACAATGGAGGCAATATTGACCTGGATGCGTTTCGAACAAAGCAAGCAGCTAGATGAAAACTACATTGGAGAGAAGTCATAAAGTAAGGTTTAATACTTTGCAAAACTTATGTCTGTAACACTAGCCATTGTTTTGTTCAGCAAAATTTCGGTCGACCACATTATTAAACAGTTCACAGCACTGCTCAAACGAAGGTTGTATTATTAACGCGCAAAAATATCTTCAATCCAATAAAATACTTAAGCTAAAAAAGCGAAATCGGCAGTTGGGAGTATGTTGTACAGAAAGACAAAGCTCGACTTACCCAGTGAGTATTTGTTTTCTTGGGACACCTTCAATTGTCTCGCCTTGGCCCTGGCTAACATTGAACTTCTGTCCCAATGAACCGCTCCATAACATCACACAAAGCAAGGCGATTAAACTACTCGATGCCATTTGGAGCCCTTTTGTGGTCTTAAACAACAATCAAGCACTTTACGTGATGCACTCGAGCAGAAAACTCTGCCGTGTGTACGAAACGCCAAGGCAATTAACCGCGTCTGTTGCCTGAAGCGCGTTGTCCAAACGCTTTCTACGTGTAACCACTGTCGCAAAAAAGAACTTGAACTCAAAGCCTCAGTGATCTACTTGCTCTCAACTCAGTTCAAGTATATCTCAAGGCGTGGATTGTAAACGCTCCAAGCTATGTTGATTTTACATAGTTCCACTGAACCCGGCTCAAATTGACAGGAAACGCGAATGCCTGACAAGAAATCGGATACATGCGAGGTGACTTGTGGTCAAATTCGATACCTACACTCATTGTGTTTGTTATTCACTTTTACAGAAAGCATCTAATCGGACATGCGTCTTTCGTTTGACACTAAGCGCTTCAAATTTTAAGTTGATGGGACATTATTGTCTGTTTTCAATTTTTTTAACTCAAAAATTGGCCACCGACTGGTGTGACAACGGTCTTCTCATGTCTCCTCGGCGGATGCTAAAACAACGAGGGTAATAAAATGTTCAAAAATATAACTTTTTTTCTTTTCTCTTTTTTTTCTGCACAGATCGCGAAAGAACAATCCACTCAGGAATTTTTTTTTTCGTGATTTCTGTTTAGAAGGTTAATACAGTGAGAAGGTATTGTAAAGGGCCCGAAAAGGCGATATACACACTATGCAAAGAAAAAACTCTACCCACTACCAAAGGAAATGTTGTCCCATTTTCCTTTGTTTTTTCCGACCGAAATCCCGGTACCTCCCTTCCAATATGTCGTGTTTACAACTCAACTTTAGAGAAAAGTTTATCTTAACCCCACTCCTCTCCCGGCTTTGCCACTCGTGCATTTGCCAGGCCAACGAAACTGGAGTCAGAACCGCCCGTTTCCCCTACTCTGCTCTCTCGCTTTCGATTCCTTCCCTCTTCTCTCCTGTTCCCGTCCCCTGTAAATTACGAGACTCAAAGCACATCCTAGTCATTTAGCCGCACAATTCTTAGGCGGTTAAAAGTCAGTCTAGAGAAAGTTTATTTTGACAAGTTTTTTTTTTTTTTTTTTTTTGACCAGTTAAAAAAAAAATAGGAACATCCATCTTCTGAGCCTGAACTGGAGAGTAGGAGGTAGCCTATAACTGAATATAAGGGGAGGCTCCACCCAACATGGGTACCTCAGTCAGGCTGTAGTTATATAAACGGGTAGGGCCTTCATAAGTTTATTTTGCTATTTAAAAGACTCTTTCAAAACATCTAAAACTGGAAAGGACCCACATGTAACAGCTTATTCACCTAAGTATTTTTCTGGGTTATAGAACACAAGCCAGTAGAAAGAGAATTAAGTGTGCCTACAGTGTGTGGTACCATTTTCTATGGAAAGTGTGTAAAAGGCCTATAACTTTTTTTGTCAAAAAAGAAACATAAAAAAAGTTAGGAAAGGTGGACCTGCAGTGGTTTTATCAACATTGTAATTAGGAAGCCAGGGCAACCAGTTTTCACAGGCAGGGGGAGCATTTTGAACTGATATTCTTTATAAGAAAAACTTTCCTCTAGATGGTCAAGCGGGCAAGTGGGCAAAAATAATCCTTTCAGCCAGTCAATTTGCCTGGTACCCAGCCATTAATGAAATTCCTGTACCTCCCAGTGAAGCCCCCTTGTAGTCGTGGTTTCAACTGGAAGGTTATCAGTTTTCAGTCTTTTGCAGTTTGCAAGTGTTCTACTTGAGTTAATTATAATGGTATATTTTAAGGCGCTAGAAAGCCAGGCAGTATTGCTCTTCTAGCAACTTCAAATAATTATTAAATTGTTAATATTATCAATTATTAATATTAATTATAATTAGTAAATTATCTCATGTTGTATAAGTGCCATGTAGCTTTCTCATTTTGTCTCATGATTTCTTATTTCATCACGCACAAGACAGGCTCTCTATTAGCACAGAATTCTCATCGTAACATCTATTCTTTACACCACTTTCAAATCTAACCTAACGTATATACACAACAAACTCAAGTAATTTGAAAGCCTTATTAGGGGTTTTTCCAACCCATCACCCCCTAGGGATTATAGACAAAAGTGATTAGGGGTTTTTGGGATATGGGATATGGGACCTGGGATCAATATTAAGATCGCATAAAACAAGATATCCTGAAGGAAAATCATTTTTGCAACTTGAGTTTAAGGGATATATATATGATATGTGGGATATTCAGATCCCTCTAATGGGGCCTCAGTTTTGACATATCCAAACAGATCAGCAACTAACCTTCCCCTGAAAATATCAACATAACTACTCACATAATTTTACAACTACACCCAGTATTAACCCGTCATTATAAAAAGGTGAAACATAGCACTTTTGGCAGGGATTGAAAAGTTACTATGACGATAATGCAGAGTTACTGACTACAATAAATGGCCTAATTTTGAAATTTTCTCCACAAAAACCCTGAATTTAAACATCTACATGTTAAGTCATTGATTCATGCTGATTCGTGGCTAGCACTCTTCCAGACAATTCCATGAAAATAGAACCTGATAAGCTATAATTTTCCACTTTTTGGCAGGAATTGTCAAGAATTGCTGTCATTTCTGTACAAAAAGAAACCCATTATTATGGTGACCATACATTAATATTATAATACCTTTAAAAATGTCCCGTGAAGCCCCATGGCTGCCCCAAGGAATTCCCCATTTTGACCTCTGTTTCAGTCATTTGTACACTTAAGGGATGTTTTTTGTATTAGTTGTGAACAGGGGATTTGTTTTTCTCACTTCTGGAATGATTTTAAAAGGAATTGAGGAAAAGAATACATTGCCATCATTTGCCGTAAATGTCAACTCTCCACTTGGAGAAATCCCACCATTTTTTTAAGCGATATCGAGAGGGAGACTGGAAAGAGCCAATCAGCGAGTAGACGCCTTGCGCATGTTTTTCAAACGAAGACTGCGAGACGAGCTGCGATGATTGTTTCTGAAAGAGCTTTTGAGTTTTGTTTTACTTTGGATTTACGTTTCGGTCATTAAGAGGGATTTTTCTCTATTTCTTGGTCTTTCTTTTCTTTTCAGGACTGTTTTGTCCGATCGGTGATTCAATTTTCTGGCGTTGACGCACTGACGTGTTTTTTTGCTTTGTACATCACGTTCGTTGTTCAACTTCAATCAGCTTCAATTCTGTACGTGATCCAGGAATATTCTGGCATTTATAAGCTGGATTTATAAGTTGCGTGATTGTGGTTCCCATCGAGGTACCACTGACGATCATTATGTTCCCGGCCTTTGTCTTGTCTTCTTGGGTCTACCTTCTTTGGTGATCGATTGTGGACCCTTCGTCAGCGAAGTCGACATTTAATTGTTTCCGTCTATTATTATTATTCTGGTTATGTCAGTGGAGGGCTTACTAAAAACGATCGCTTCGATCTAGGATGTCCTTATTCAAACATGTGCGAACTCGCCAAGTTAGCAAAACATTCCTTAATGAATCGTTTGTGACGGATCTCACATCACGACACATACCTGCCTTGTTGAAAGAAAGAGAACTTTCATTGGGAAGGACAGATAAAGTTTTCGCATCACAGTGGCTAGACGACAAGAAAGTAGTTTGTGGTACAAAATCAAATGAGGTGAGACGTCCAAATTCTCCTTTCTCAGATTACTAGAGGAGATGTAGTCGTGTTGACTTTGTACTGAATGTAATTTACGTGCACTGTGTACAATGAATGTTGTCATCGATCAAGAATTCTTTTCTTGTACGAAATTTTTGTACTGTAAACATTGACGACATGACATGATGCAATATACCAGCCGAAGCTGGGCTATACAATCAGGCCTCATGTGTTAACATGGCTACTTGCAACCTCTTCTCGTCAAACACCTAAACACAAATGCAAAGTGTATCTGCCTTTGGAATGTTTGATGACAACAAGTAGAGAGACCCCTTGTTGCTGAACTTAGCAATTCAAACTGGTGGATAATGTTATCCATTGAATAGATCACTGTCCAGTGAATAAATGTTGAGGAAACAAATTGTGCTATCCACTGGTTAGTGATTCATCTAGTGCATAGCTAGAAAGCACGCAAAGGGAACAAAACTGCAAGCGAGTGTGAAAAATAAGGAGAAGGGGGACAGGGTGAGACAAGGGAAGGGAAGGAAAAAAGATTCCTTTTCTCCCCACCACTTCCCCTTCTCGCTCACTCCCTCCCCACTTCTCCCCATTTTTTGCTCACCCCAGGCAAGCGTATTCACTCACTTGTTCGATATCTTCGCCTGGAAAAGAAAATGTCATCTACACAGGCTAGTGAATAGCATAATTTGTGTTGTTAACACTTATACAGTGGATAGTATTATTCATTTTTTTAACAACTTGGGCCTGGTCTATTGGAGGATAATCCTTTAGACTGAAAAAAAATATCCAAAACATGAACATTGGGCAGAGAAGCAAAATTGTCAAAATCAAAATTTTGGTATGAAATTGAACACATTTGAGTGCAGTGTATTTGTCTGTAGACAACTTGGCTCAAGAATAGGCAGATTCCCAAAGTGAAGCAAGAAAACCACTTTGAGCTTTCAAGAACAGAGATGTTCGAGGGCAAATTTTAGTTGGTAGACTCTACAAGTACCCAGTACTGCCCACTTTAAAATGTGGATGTCCTTCAGTCTACAAGTACTTTAAATTTTCAGTAGAAGTTCCTGGGGGTCGGGTACCTGGCAAATTGACCGGCTGTGAGAATAATTTTGCCCACCTGGTTTGACCATCTAAGGAAAGTTTTTCTTATATCAGAAGTTTAGTTCAAATAGTTTTGCCTACCTGTGAAAACCAGTTGCAGTCCTGCTGAAAATGTTAATGAAATCCTTGAATTCCCTGTTGTCTCTAGTTAGGAGAATATTGAATATTGAATTTTGGGGGACTGGCTTCAGTGTCACTAACTTTATTTTATCCTGCCAGTCTTGCAACAGATTACATGGTGTATGTCCTCTTGAAAGCAAATACTTTCAGCACACATTCTGGTTAATTCATTAATACTAAACATTGGTCAATTCTCTTAATAGCTTCTTGTGCTGGACATGTTATCAGACAGGAGTTTCTCCATTCCTGTTTTGGAGGGAAGCCCTAACAGTGAGATTCCTGAATCCAACTGTGGAATACACAGTATAAGAATAAGTCCTGCAAGAACATTGTTAGCTACAAGTGGTCAAAACCCAAATCATTTGGCAGTGTACAGATTACCAACATTTGATCCAATGTGTGTAGGGGAGGTATGTTCTGTATATTATCATTAAACTGATTGTTATATTACCTATATATAATTTGATCCACCTTTTGCATTGATCTTCACACCAGGTCCCGTAACAACCTTGTCACTTTGTGGATGAATTGTCTCAATGAAAGGCAATTTCACCCATAACATCACAGACCTGCCAAGCATACCCAGTCCTAACAGGGTTACAGCCCTTAATGGCAGCCCTGGTACATGTAGCTCCACTGATCCATTTTACAAAGCTAAAAACTAACTTAAAGCTAAGAGCCTCAGTTCCTTTATTCTAAGATCAAGAAGATCTAAGACCTTTAGTTTAAAAGTCTTCTATGCTACAATATATCATCCCCAGATCTATTTCTATGTTGTACTTTCCATGTGCAGCTGTATAGAATAAATATTTTTTTATTTTTGACCAGCAGTTATGCAAATTTATTGGAACAAAAGAAAGTGATAACATGAAAAAAGAGTTCAACTCCCATGGGACTGCTTTTGGACACCAACATGGCAGCTGTTTCTTTGTCTTAAGACACCAAAATGGCTGCCATAACATGTAAAAACACTCTGTGCCATGACATTAGGCATTGTCAGTTTAGCCTATATTGGCCTTTTTTTAGTTATGTGATCTGAGGGAGCCAGATGTACATGTAGTCAAGTCTTGAATACCCTGTTAGTAGTAAGTTATGAAAGTTTATAAGCTAAATCATTCTTTTTGCTATCTTCAGGGACATACTGACTGGATATTTTCTGTGGAGTGGATTGATGATTTTCACTTAGCAACAGGTAGAAATAAAGAG